ACCCTTTGGGGGGCCCCCCCCCCTCTGATGCCCCCCCCCCCCCCGGGCTGTGTTTCTGGGGTGGGAACAGGAGGTGGTCTGGGGTGGGAGGGATCTAGGTCGGGGCGCTGCTGGGATGTTTTAGATCCGTCTCACGTGCTGCCAGGGCTGGCTGGCAGAGCCGTTTCAGAGGAGACTGTCTAGTGCCCTCAACAAGACTCGGTTGGTGCCTGCCGTCTGCAGCCTTCCTTCAGCCCAGCTGCTGCAGAGAGACAAGTCTACAAGCAGTGCTCCAGTCACTGGCAGCACGGCACCCTGAGCGGGGGGCTGCCGGGGGAATGTCAGGCCCAGAATCCCCTGGCCCCGGTGTGGGAAGGCCCAAGCTGTGTACTAGCCCTGGGGAGAGGATCACCAAGCATTCTCGCAGCAGCAAGTGCCCCTGCACGTCCAGGCTCATTTGACGGTGGAACCTCTTGGCTGCAGGGAATGTAACAAAGGGAAAGCCAAAGTGACCGTCTCCACATACCTCACCCCCTGCTTCGACGACTGTGGGACGTACGGACAGTGCAGCCTTCTGAGAAGACATGGCTACCTCTACGCCGGCTGCAACTGTAAAGCTGGTGAGTCCCCTCTCAGCGGCGCCTGGGCCAGCCTCCCAGCAGGCCTGCATGTCCACCCTGAGGCTGAACTTCCCCTTCCGGGGATGTGCCGACAGGGGCTCCCGGAGCTGGAGAGCGTAGGTGTGCATCCACAGCCCCATACTGCTCCTGCATGGGCGTTGCTCCGCAACCCGTGTGCTAGCGAAGAGCTACAGCCGCCTTTGGCTTGAAACACCTGGGGCAGGGTCTCTCCTTGCTGCTCGAGGCCCAACTTCCCCTCCGTAGGAAAGTAGCCCCAGACAGCTCTCGGGGGCCAGTCTCCTGGCAGTGAGCCCAGGGCCTCTCGCCCTTAGGAGAGCAGTGACCCCCAAGAGCTCCTAGCTGTGTTGGGCCTTGCGAGTCGTGAGTCTGTCAAATAGAAAATAGCCCCTGGCAGGTGGAGGATGACTTGGCTGGTGGCCTGTGGTGTTAGGCCCCGTGTAGCCATCAGGGGCTGTTTCCTGACAATTGCAACATGCCTAAGAGTTACAGCAAGGATGGTACAGAGCCATGTCCCTGTGGCCCTTAGCTCAGGCCCTGAGATGTGTAGACTCTGCCTGCGCTACGCTATTCATTGTACTGTGATGGGTCAGCGCTTGGACTTCACAGATGGGCTCTAGACGTCCCTGCTCAGCTGCAAAGCTGGGGGAACTCTCTGTGTCTTTTCTGCAAATATGCAGCACATCAGATCCAGCATTGTGCGCCCTGTAGACCATTGTGTTTGCTGTCCATCAGTCTGAGCTCTGCAATTCCCATCTGAGTGTTCCCCCCCATAGATCTGCCTGCAGAGCGACCCCTGCCCACTCAATGAGCTGGTGTCCAACCAAAACTGACAGGCACTGCTGGATTGGGGGGGAGTGGGAGGGGAAATACTCAGTGGCTCAGGGCAAGTGGCTGGCAAACCCGCTGCAGCATGGCCTTTCACAGTACAGGCAGTCCCCGGGTTACGTACAAGATAGGGACTGTAGGTTTGTTCTTAAGTTGAATCTGTATGTAAGTCGGAACTGGCATCCAGATTCAGCCGCTGAATCTGGACACCAGTTCTGACTTACATACAGATTCAACTTAAGAACCCCAGGCATCCCCAAGTCAGCTGCTGCTGAAACTGATCAGCAGCTGATTCCAGGAAGCC